CCCCCCCCCCCCCCCCCCCCACCTAGGTTGCATAGGGGTTGGGCTCTGTTTGAAGTTTGTTCTCGTTATATCTCAAATACTGGATGGATATTTCTGAAATTTCATATGTACTTACAGCACCTACTTCACACCAATTATTTTAGACATATTCAGGTGAGCGATACAGGCCCTGTGGGCCTCTTGTTTTTTCACAAGAGTCTGAATGGCTAACTGAATTGTATGCAATCAAATCTTTCACTAAGGGTTGTCACAAGATTAACATTTTCTAGTGTGGATTTTGATACCACCTATATACAAGTTTTGATACATATAAATATATCTGTGTTTGAGATTTCGCTTCAGAACAATGGATATAAATATCCATTCTATTTTTGCTATTTGCTTTGTACATACTGTATGACAGGAAACGTGTGCCCTTTACTGGTAAAATTGATATTATCCCATCGTTAATTTCCCCCCTTCACGTGGTATGATGTGTATTGGTATTCGCTGTAAAGATAAATTTAGTCTCAATATATATGGAGGGCAAAACAGGTGAAATGCGGCAAACATTTCCTGGTTTACAGTTATATCTATATGGAAGTGTGTCAACAAGTTAAATGTTGTATTGTTTGTATTACTGTGACAAAAAATATCCACATATCAACAGCCAAATATCTGTGATGAGTATGAGAGCTTGTTTTTGTGTGAGGATGACAGAACAATATGCTTCTTAGGTAATATAGATTACGCACATTTTCCAGACAAATATTCTAAATTCCTTTTAGAACAAAAAGCATTTATAAGTTCTTTTGCTTCATTACCTCAATTAATTCTTAAGTTGAACATTTCGTTGAAACATGGTTTTTATAAAGATTTTAAGACATTATCAGATCTGAAAGTTAATCTCATGTATTCAGTCGTCAGGCAAATGTTAAAGGAAGTGTTGGAACTAATTTACAATTGTAGTTATAATCCTGTCATTGATTGAGACAAACAAGATATTATTTTGCAAGTTTTGATTTCTTGTGTGAAATGTAACTGCTCTACAGATGGGTAGTGTTTACAGCTTGTTAGAAAGTAACGAACATGTTTTGCTTCTTGGAAGAAAGATTTTTTTATCAATAAAATATATTTTGTTTCCATATTAGTTTCTTTCATTTTCTCCATCTGATTCAATAATTTCATAGAACTGATGACAGCTATTACTTGAAACAAGGTTTTGCACATAAAATTCTGGAATAACACCTGTATCTTATCTTGCCCTCTTTCTAGGACTTACGGCGCCAGCCTTGCCTTCATAATAGCAGGCTTTCTTGGTTTGCCTTCTGCAGGACTGAACCTAGTTTGATGATCCTCATAGAGCTTCTATGACTGGACCCTGTCATATACCACTGTCATGTCATGTCAAGGTCATATACCACTGCCATGTCATGTCAAGGTCATATACCACTGTCATGCCAAGGTCATATACCACTGTCATGTCATGTCCAGGTCATATCTGTACATTCTTGTCCAGGGAGTGTGTAGCATATCAATCCATTATGTCTACTGTCAATGTCACAGGAAGGGGTAAAAGGTCAAATTATTTAAGTTCTTGCCTGGGCAAACTTTTGACCATCTAAGCCTTATTTGTTGAAACTTCATTGATAAATATCAATTGAAAAGCAATGTCCTCGGAGCTTGCCCTACATGAAGGTGAGCTTAAAGTTGTTTACCTTATTGTTGGACAACAGACGAAAGGTGATTTGAAAAGCCCACCATATCTGATAATGGTGGGCTAAAAACTTCTATTGAATAAGAACACAAGACAGAACAATGTCAATGGCATGTTTATTCCTTCAGACTACAGTATAACAGACTGTTAACATGTGCTCTAACAAGGAAATCCTCACCGAGGAGTGTGTCATCAATCTCTCATCCCTCCAGTAATCAAAATGGATCTACCATTCCTATATAAGTGAAGCATTCTATTGTGCTCTGGAGGTTGGACAGGTGTATAAAAACTTAAATATTACGAAAGTGATAAGTTACATCATCTAAACTCAGCAGCACATAGGAGTTAGTTTTCCAGAATGCATGTTAAATAAAGTCAGTATTGAAAATGATAATATACCAGGATAACATAGATAATGGAATGCATTTGAAAAGATAAAACCACAATATGTGTGTTACTATCTAATAATGGTATTTGAATGTGGCTATACACTAAGTAAATGTATTTGGTTATTTATTGGAGTCTAAACAGCTATTGCATCTTTGTGTGTTTAGGGAATCGGACCAAGACCAAATGATAACCATCTCGTGAGGAGATATGAATGAAAATGTGCACACACCGAGATAATTGATGGATAGTGAAAATGATCTGCGAGGTACTTTAACATTCTACCATGCTGAATTAAATATGACAGTCTGATCTGTTTTGCAATTTACAAAATAAAGACAATCGGATGGAAATTGGAATGTGCACATTGGGAAAAAAACTTGAAGTTTTTATAATGAACAATGTAAATCACAAAAAAAAAGGTTTTCGGGGAATGTTATCATCACTGGGTTGGTTACAGAGTTAATACTCCAAAGTAATTATAAAGGAATGAATTCTGCATCACGTCAACTTCAACAGGCTTTAAGAATGTTTTTCACTGCGAGTAATTTACACTAAAATTCTTAATATGAAGCTTACTTTAACTCATTCACCCCTACATATCTAAACTGGACTTGCCCTGTCATTGATTTGGTAAGGTTTAAATGTGACTTTAGGGGTGAACGAGTTAAGTAATACAGTATATACTTTACATTAAAGATCTTTAATAGTCTAAGTTCATTTTTGTACACACTGGGTAAATTACATAAAGTAGTGTACATCATATGTACTTCATTGCCACATTTAGCATTTCTTTTTTTATGTCATATATACTTTAGGACAATGGAGAGTCAACAGGAGTCAAAATCATTACCACAGAAAGAACTGACGACAGAAATGTAAATTAAAGCATAAATACATATCAACCATATCAGTTAAAACTGAAAACATACAAACTGATTAAATAAATATATAAATAAAATACATGTAATATATGATAGTTAAATAAACACAGGTATCTGTATCTGAGACATAACTTCCCAAAAGTTTTGCATTTTGGTGTATAGCTGCGAAAAGTTCTTCACCGAACTCAGCTTTTCTTATTAGTTACATCCTTTTCTGAATATTCACAGAAATAATGTTTTAAAGAATATGTTGCATGTTTTAAGATGTAAAGTGTATTTCTTTTCATAAAGTTTCAGAACAAAACAATTTCAAATCTGAAGATTTTATATATATTTTAAATATTTACGAATTTCTGAAGTATTATAACTTAAGAATATTCCAAAACAACAAAAATTGAATGAAAAATATTATTCAACTGAATTTATTTTGGTGACAACTAGCTGTTCAATTCCTCTTTACGCCCCAAAAATGTTAAGACTGAACCTGACCCCAAATGAAAAATGACTTAAGTATACATATATTTCAAGAGATCTGAACCTTCTTCTAGCAACGTACACGACTAGCACAAGGACAGTTATACAAGGTATGAAGGGGAGGTAACTCATGCTCAGATTTCATAAATCAATAATTATGACCTGTGCATGTAAAACTAGAATTAAATTAAATTAAATGACTAATTTTGATAAAGCTGTGTTATACCAGAGACATATAAAGCCATATATATGTATATACGTCTCTGGTTATACCACACTAAAGGATTGGTAGACGTTTTGTAGACTCAAGTGATTTTTAAACAATATTTGTGTCTTACAGGTCAATGTACTTGGTATATATATGTACTTGTGACCACAATATTTATAAATCAGCAGATAATCTGAATGGCTATACTCCCATCATTGCATAATACACACTGTGTGATACAGCAGCACTTAAACATTTCATATATATATTTATATCGAAATAAATAATCATTTACACCTGGAACCTCGGTCCTGCATTACCATATGAGTGCTAATAATTATGAGATGAATAAAGATTTGCAATATTTTCCTCCAATAAACCCAAACAAATGACTGGCTCTCACAAAAAAGTACAATGACGACAGAGCATTATAGATACTGACCATGTTATATTGCTTATGATGCTTGCTTTTAGTATTTGGCAGGAAAAATTCAATTTTAACTTTATTAACAAAACTGAATTTTCTACTGCAATATTAAATTGGACTTTGTGGATTACTGTTTAAATGAGAATATAACAATTTAATAATGAAACAAAAGTAATTAAAATATATTTATGTGGTGAAATCATGAATACCTAATAATAATAAAAATTAAGACCAGTAAAATTGTTAATACATCTCAAATTATGGAATTGAAAATTGTGATAATCATAATGTAAGGAATGTTAAGTATAAATTAACTGTTAACAATTTCATTAAAAAATAAATTCAAAAAAATCTACTGAGACAGATTACTACTTGAAATCACCTGACTGCATGATTCGTCCTGAAGTTAAGCTATCACAGAAAAACCTTTATACAACATATAAATGATTCAACACCCAGTTACAACATTAACAAATTCACACAATGCTTTTATACATAATACTTGTCAGCACTCCTGAAATATTTACTGACTATATAACTAAATCAGTCCTTGATTGGTTTGTACACGTATCACATAACATTCAATGTTATTGGTTCGATAATACTTTTAATGATTATGTACCTCATTCTTCCCTTCATATTTAAACTGGTCTTTGCCAGGCTTTGGTTTGGTAACGTTCAAATGTTACTTTAGGGGTGAATGAGTTAAATGACAACGCCTGAATGCTTGAAGACTGAAAACTGACAGCCCATCTGTGAATTGTCAACAAATACACTGGCAAAAAGTATTAACTAATGTATTTTTTCAAATCCAAATAAAAAAAAGACAAAAATTGTAGAGTCTGTTTGTCACACATTCATGTTACCTCATAAACACAGCCAGAGACCTGTCCATTTAAGACGAGGCTCGGTTTTTCAAAAGGTGATTAGCTTAATCAGTGATAAGCACAAAATTAATTTTTTGAGTATCTTTAAATAACAATCATTAACTTAGTTAAAACTTTCAAGATAGCAAATATTATAGTAGTGTAAAATTACACGCATCAGGAGAGTTTACCATCAACCAAATTATAAGAGGTTAAAACAGTGATTAACCTAATCATCTTTTGAACAACTGGGCCCTTGACTGGGAAAGCTACAATTCAAAACATGTAGACCAGTACATCAAACTTTGCTGTCCAATAACTTAATTTGAAATTTGATATCCTGACTGCATTAAAAGCATGAATTTTCATATATGTATGTGAATAAATCTTATAAACATATATGATTTATTGATATAATCTTGAAATATAATTAACATCATTATTTATTAATGCAGTGTGAAAGCAACTTTATGATACATATTATTGTTATTTTTGTGTCTGAAATCATGTACTGGAATCGACATGTTTTGACTCGTTTAAAGGGAGACAACCTTATCACACAAGTTCTTATTGATGCAAAACCATTAAATGTCAGTGAAGTCCCAATAAAAGCCTCACTCCAAAGTATATTTTGTAATATGCATAGATAATAATGACAGCAGAAGTTACCTGTGATAAAAATGAAGAATATAAAAATCTAATTTGAAAAAAAAAAATTAAAAGAAAATTCAGCCATCAGTATTATTGTAAAACAGCAATGAAGTACAGTGTCCTGAAGTCTGACACTTAGTGAGTTCATAGTAAACCTGTACACACAATCACTTCAAAGAGACTAGAATTTCTACAGATGAACGTCTAAAAAAACTTCAGTTCAGAATACAGTTTTTTATGTTTAATTATCCCTGATAGATAAATGTTTAGTGATCAAATACACAAAGCTGCAGTGTTATCAGACCAAAAAACTACTACCCTAACAACACACTAACCATTTCTTACAAAACACAACTCATATTTTTTAAATTACACCAGTAACATCTAATCAATATAAATCCAAACATTTTTTTTCAAACTATCTGTTCAACGTCTTACTGCTAAGGTCAGTACACTACCAACCACTCTATAAGGCTTTTGTTATTAGGTCTTTAAGTTGGAAATCAGCTGCTACTACTTGGCCTACAGGTTAAAATCAGCTGTTATTATTGGGCCTTCAGGTCAAAATCAGCTGCTATTACATGGCCCACAGGTTAAAATCAGCTGTTATTATTGGGCCTTCAGGTTAAAATCAGCTGCGATTACTTGGCCCACAGGTTAAAATCAGCTGCTATTACTTGGCCCACAGGTTAAAATCAGCTGTTGTTATTATTGGGCCTTCAGGTTGGAAATCAGCTGCTACTAACTAGCTGTTAACTTCTTAACTTATACCAATCAGTCTTTGACATTTATAACTAATATCTTAACCTGAATTTAACCATTCCTCTGCATCCTAACCGTATTTCAGATATAAATATAATCAACAAGTCCTTGTCAAACATCAGAGTGCCCTAGCCATCTGAAGTTGTTATCGAACTAAAACAATTTATCAAGTTTCCAGCCATACAAAACGCATGCAAAGTTTTTCTTATCATGCACAAAACAATCATACACAAATTTCTCCTGGACTTCTACAACCGGTTATTAGTATAAGTATGTACTTATTAAATTACATTTTATATATAATATCTATATAAATATATATAACAAACTATGTACATTGCATCCCAAACAATAAACCTGTTACGATAACAATACTCTGTGGTGTATAGAATCAGCGGAGACTAGCAGTTGTGTTATGTAAAATATAGTAAACAAAATATCACCATCATCATCATTAATGATAGCTGGTAAAAAAATATCACGTCAAACAGTGAAATATATACGATTAAATTCGTGTAATAAATACTTGTGTTCATTTCTATTAATATATCCAAAAATTGAATCATACATTATCTGGAAAAACCTTTCTGCAGATTTATACATCTATTTTCAGGAAACAGAAGATTTTTTCTCTCTCGTTAATCCCGAAAATCAATTATTCCATTTTCTTTTCTGCAAAAACTGAAATATCCAGATTAGCAAGGTTCCTGTGTGTACTGATCAGAAATGCACTGTAACTCATTGGTAAGCATTTTGTATAATACATTACTTCCTCTTGCTCTTCAAATATAATGTATTGGTATACCATGCATTTCATGAAGGTGTTGTATATATTTTGTATCATTTAACCTCTTCCCTGTATGTACCTGGTACATGTTATACATTTGTAAACACATTCTATGTGTTACCAGGTACTGGAAATAAGTTTCATGCACATTGTATCAATAATTTCCTATACAATGCTGTTGTATCTTACAATATATTTTCTGAATACAATGTAAAATACACGGACTGGAATGTTGAGACTACCCGACTTGGAATGTGTTGATGGACACTCAAACAATATCCTGGTTAACTCACACTAACTACACCATTTGTACTTCATCAACTTCTCAAGCAGATCCTGAAATATTACAATTACAGTCCCAAGAGATATAAAAGGAAATTATTATCTCACACCAAAAAATTGAATAATTGATTCCCAATATATTCTGTACAAATTTAAAAAAAAGCCAGAATTCATGTTCCTCAAATTGTAACTGATGACTAGTAATATGTAATACATATACTTATATCTGAAGTGAAGACATCCAATCTCATCTGACCCATAGCATAAAAGTCTCTACCACAAACAAGATACATATGTATAAATATAATGTTGTAATTTATGAATATCAGCAAGGATAGCTAAATAACCCTTTATCTTCTTCACCCCTGAAATTTCATAATGGACTATTCTACCTTTAAATTGGAAGAATTCAACTGTTACTTCAGGGGTGAATGAGTTAAGTACAGGGCCCACTTGTATAAAACATCTCAACTCTTGAGATTTCCTCAAGTCTAAGATTTCCCATAGACAATACATTGCTTGAGATTTTCCTTAACTTTGAGATGTTTTATACAAGTGACCCCTGTTACCTTAATGTTTTGAGGAACATTGAAATTTTAGCTGGCATGTTTGATTTTGTGCGAAGACATCTGTGCTGGGCCTAACACGGCATAGTTGCAGGGGGTACGGGTACAATGGTAGTGGGTCTGCTTCATGTTGTACTGGCAAAGAGCCACGCCACAGTCATCCTCAATAGACGCCTTCACAAACCCCTGTGAACTGATGCTGTCCATCTTGGAATGGTGTTTGCGGTGAGTGAGGACCTTACTTGAGTCTGTGCAGCAGTAATCACACTTAAGACAGTGGAAATGTGAGGCCTTTCCTTGGTACTCGCAATTCTCTAAGTTGCATGACTGGTTCATACGGTATTGTCGCATCTCTCCACCGGTCAGACTGTCGATACGCTCGTGCCGCAAGGTGTGCTGTATGAGACGAGACCGGTCACTGAAGCTGTAACCGCAATCTTCACGGATGCAGTGGAAGTGTGTCACCCCCTGACGGTAGGCACACTTTTCATGTTGACAGTCCTCCTTCTGTTTGATACGTGTGTAACCATCAGGAATGGAGTCATCCTTTCCGCTTCGTGGGCTAGTACTCTTCTTCTGCTTCACAAGAATGGAATTACTGTCCACAAAGTCGTTACGTTTCGTTGCTGTCCGTTTTCGTCCAGACTTACGGCCAGATGCTCCATCAATCAAATCATCTTGTCTTAATTCATCTAAACTGTTATCGTTACTGTCAAGTACATCTCCGCTTTTCTCCTCATGAAACCTCTCGTCTATGACTAGCTTTCCGGAGAAGCCGAGCCCCGGGTCACCATCAGTGTTAGATTTAGGTGGTGCATTGGTAGCATGGGCTTGCTGCGCTTTCGCAATCATGCTAGAAAATGTTGAGAATTCTAGATTCAATGATGAGGACCCATTTAACTCGTCCTCATCTTCCTCATCAGGGTCAGAAAGGTGAGTACCTTCTGGTGGGTAATCCTCACTTCCTGTCGCACAGACCTTTGTCGTAGTGATAACAGAGATAGGTGTTGCTACAGGTGGCTTTTCTTCACTCTTGTTTATCTTGATGCCATGTTTACAGATGTGAACGCGAAGACGTGATGGATCTGAGAAAGCCTGGTTACAGTCAAAGCAATGGAAGTGGTCTTTTTTTTTCAATTTACAGAAAGGTCTACCACAATTCTGGTTGATATCAAAGTGCATGCTTTCCTTCAACTCCTGCCAGCTGCGTTGTGGAACAGAGTTACTTCCCTTCTGCTGCAGTAACATGGACAGTGGCACATTGGCTCCGACCAGTCCCTGAGTGATGATAGGTGTGGCCACAGCGCTAACGGTGGCCACGGTTGGCATGACTAGTGCCATGTTTGGTACAGCTACTGGCACAGCCTGAAGTGAATTGACAGTAGACAACTGTGTGGCTAGCTGTGTGGTCAGTGTTGGTATCGCCATGGTGCCTGGGACTTTGCTCAAACCCGACCAGGGGAAGAATGTCCCTGATGTCTTGATAATGCCTTTGTTGACAGACTCCAGTGGACTAGGGGACAGAGCAGGTATAATTGGCATGAACCCTGGGACAGACACTGTAGGAGCTGCCTCCTTCTTGATGAGTTGGAGAGGTTTGAGCTCTGTAGCGCCCTCTGTCCTGTGTTTCTTGTCATGCTGCATCATTGTGCTGTGTCTGACAAAAGAGTAATCACACTTGGGCTTGACACAATGGAAGTGTCGGTTTATTTTGTTATTGTTGCAGTGGTTTCTTCGACAGTTGACGTTCCGATCAAAGAACTCAAAACCCTCCAAGATGTTGACAAAATTATGGAAGTCTTTGGCATGGAGGTTGAGGACATCGAGGCGGTCGGTGGCATGGTGGCAGCGTGGCCGCGCACAATGGTAGTGCTGCTGCTGTCTGTAGATACATAACTCATCCGGACATTCCTCTCGCTCCTCAAACATCTTAAAGCCGTTGATGACTTTCGGGAGGCCAGCGCTGTTGATGGCAATTTTCCGTGTGGATTGAGCGATTTCCTCTTCTGACAGCTCAACCTTGGGTATAATTGGGATGTCAATTTTAGGATATTTCGGAGGTCGACCTCTGCGGCGAGGTGAGTTGTCTTCCAGTTTTGACCCAGAAAACTTGTAGGTCTTACCCTGGGATGCCCTGGCATACTCGTGTATGCGGTAGTGCTCCAGACGTCCAAATGTCGGACCAATGTGGGGCACAACATGTGTGCAGCCCGACTGTAAGGAAAAAGTAATTGTATGATTAAAGGGGTCTTTATACATTTAACTCTTCTTTATGAAGAAAGTTTGTATGATAAAGAACAGAAAACTCTGATAACGACCAAAAAACCCATAAATAAACGAAGCAAGCATGTAAGAGGAAATTTAGAAGTTGCATTATTAGTTACACGGACATTATAAAAAAATAAATCAAATCACCTTTTTTGCACAGTATATTGAATTATCTTAAAGACTCTGGTTTTTTGAGAATCATTTATCTATAGATTAACATTACTACTCATTACCATAAATCACAACTCAGAGAGATAGATTCTTTTAACACATGACGAGAGTTAGTGGTAGTGTTTCGTAAGAGGCTTAGATACCTCAATACATTTAGAAACAGGATTTGAGACTACGTACCCAGATACAGTGGTAGTGTTTCTCCTTGAGGCTGTACTGACAACTGTTAGGACAGGCCTGAAGGGGTTCATAAACATGGTAAGCCACAGGTGTGATCCGGTCTTGCAGCTCATGGAATCTGTTGGAAATAATCATTATATTTTCCCCATTAAAACGTTTTCCCCATTTTTTTAATTGAAATTTTATTTACTGAAGTTTAATTTTGTCATTGTAGAAACATTTGTCTATAAAGTTCCATTACTCAACAGATAACTTTGTTAAGGTGTAAAAACAGTATTTATCTTGCTGCTAATTTACCTATATGTTTTATATCTCTCATAAAGGAGGAACATTCACCATGACAGTAAAAAAACCACACACTGGAAAAATACAGATTTTACTGATGGGTTGAATATTCTCTGGGAATTTCCCTGGTAAACGTCAATCATTTATTACTGACCACAGGGAGTTTCCATATGTCGTCCCTACCTTGCATGCTCCCGGACCCCATCCTTGGACTTAAAGAGCACCAAGCAGCCCTCTACTTTACAGTGGTAGTGATCCTTGTACAGGTACTGGCACCGTGAGTTACAGGGATCATTAGCTGTGTACCTGGCAGGGGTCAAAGGTCAAAGGTTAGATCATAAGCTAGATAAAGATCAAAACTTCAAAGACAGGGTCAAAATCATGTCAGATAAAGGCCACTCATGGTATAAACCATAAATGCAAATATATCCAGGGATAGGCTGCAAGATATGTTATTATCTCCCTTAGACCATTCATCTAAGCATTGCAGACTGGTCTTTTTCTTCCAAGTCCTAGTTAAGAATGTTATTATCTATTATGACATAAAAGTTACAGTTGCTATTTCATGCTGTTTTTCTTTAAAGGTAGAAAAAGTAAAATTCAACCAGTTACATTGCAGTATTTTGCATGAAAACATTAAAAATCGTTTAATTCTTATAATGAAATGAAATGATTTGTCTTTTAACACATATTTTGTTTTAATTGATATAGTTCAAAGCATGTTAATCTAAATTCAGAAAAAAGTGGAAGTTTTAATGCAAAACACAATTTGACTACAAACAAAAAGTCTTAAGTAATTCCGACTAAATCTTCTTCAACTGATCAGAAATTGACCATGACTACTACAGAGTGTGTATACTGGTGCCAACCTTATGAGGTAACTTTTCCAGGATTCATCTCGCTCACGCTTCTCCATTATGGGGGGCCTGGCTGGCAGCGCTACACTAGTTGCCGTGGTGACTGGCTGGCATATGGCTGGAGACGAGGCTGGGGTTGCTAGAGAAGTTGCCATGGATGAGACTGAGGTAGGGATTTGGACAGGAAGTTGTAAATGCTGACGTACAGGTGTGACTTCCTGTGGGGAGGTGACTTTGATTTCATCCATGAGGTGCATGGTAGGTATGGGCAATGTAAGCGAGTCACTGAGCTTGACCCCTGTAAGGTTAAGTGCGGCCATTGTGGACGCCTTTGGCTCATTGTAAAATGTTTCGGGGACATCTGTGGCATCATCTTTTCCGCTGTCACTGTCAAGGTCGTGGTGGGAAACATCCATGGCAGTATCGGATTCGGAAGACTCTGACTTTACATCGGAAAAACTGTTTTCGTTGAGATTTTCTGGTTGGTCCTCTTGCATTAATTTAGACTCATTACTTTCGGAGTCGTCAAAAGCTTCCTGCTTGATGGAGACTGGTAAGGACATACTAGGCTGCTCTGTTTTAAATCTTTTGGAGTCATTTGAATCAAAATCGTCCAGTGCTTCACGCTTGATCGCCACAGGAAGTGACATGGACTGTTGGTTACTCATAAGTGATACATTGTTGAGGGTATTCACCCTAGAGGGGGCTACTGTGCCCGGGATCATGCCCGGAATCTGACCCCCCTTATTGTCCTGCTGATCATCACGGAACTTCCTGTATGCCGACTCAAAATCTCGCCTTTCGTGCTTCCTCTTGTGTGAGTACAGTTGAGCCGTGGAGTGCAACACATAATTACAACCTAAAGCAAATAAATTACATTTAAACATTGCATAAAGATCCTCTACAGCTAAAAATGAAAATATTCTGCTATTTCTGTCTCATATGTTATATGCCCTAACCCAAGAGCAAGTTTAACCAATATTTTCATTCAGAATAGACAGCTTTCTCAGATCACAGAAGTTTAATTTACACTGATATATATCGTATATGGGAATTTTTTTGTCAGTCTTAATTGTTTCTCTTTTTTCGCCCACTGTAATGTGGGCAGATTTATCATGACAGCGAATATTAGTACATAGCATACTATATAGTAATAATAACATGTGAATGGCGAAATTAACACTGGGTGATTTTGGGACTTGACTGGGTATAAGACTCCCAATATATCACATGTGTTAAGTGCAGATAGTTTATACAGGTTTCTGGAATAAGCAGTATGCTGTTGAACCAGGCTAATATGTGGTCTACACAGACCTGCTACAATAATTTGTGTACACATGGAAACCAGTTAGAAATACTTACCGGACCTTATACAGTGGATGTGGTTGCTGACCTTGGAGTACCGACATGACATGTAACCACAGTGCTCGTACTTCATGAACTTCTTGAATCCATCTTTTGCCAAGACTTCATCTTTTTGGTGATAGGTTTTGTGTTTCTCTGCAAAGTCGACATGGTTAAAATGAAACGAATGCCACTAAAAATCACCAACAAGAGTACTGCAGGGGTGGAACAATATACAACGGTTCAGTGCCATGCACAAATTTTGTTCGACTTTGGTTGTTGCCTTTTTCTTAGTTTTATACGAATACTAAGCCTTAGTATAGACACTTCCCATATCAAAATATTTTAGGGGTGTATTGGCCTTTTCTTCTTTCAAAATGTATTTGCTTGTTGGAGTTTTGTTATTTTTGTTGTTGTATTTGGATCACAACTGAAAGTCATTGCCAACACAAACAAATAACATTGTTATGATCAGGACATACCCATGTCAGCCTTGTTTTTGAAGGTGAAGTTACAGGTGGGTCGGCGACAGTGGAAGTGAGTGGTCCTCTGTCCGTAAAAGGCACAGGACGGTGTGCCACAGTCCTCTGTGGCGCGGAACCGCTGGAAACCTTCCTGGATGATAGCCGAGTCTTTTCTGTGGTAGTTGGCATGCATCTGTACATCTGAAGTACTGATATAAACCTTGTCACAGCCACCCTGTGTGGAGGAAAAGGTGTCAGATAAAGTCTTGGGGAGGATTACGATCAAGGTGACTTATCATGGGTGGGGAGTCAATTTTAGTTCTTTAAATATTCTTGTATTCTCTTCATACGAAGCTTTATATTTGTCCTTGAAAAAGAAGACAAAACTGAGATGAGGCTCTCATAGATACAATCCCCACCCCCTATCCTCACATATAAGTCACTGTGACCTCCGCGATCCATTAGGAAGAAAGGGGCAGGGGAGGTCATAATTATGATAAAATGAACAGCACTTCTCAAAACTTTAACCCCAATGAACTTTTAAAATTGAGGGTAAAATATATGTTACTTGCTTTGGGAATAGATGAAAGGACAATGGACGAATGTTCCTGATATATGTGATTTTAAAAATAATAGTAGGATAAATGTTTTCAAAAATTATGAAATTTTTCAGACAGATCTGAATAACAGTATTTTTTTCTAAAATTGGTGAATATTTCTTTGGGAAAATAATGAACTTGATGCCAAAAATCAAAACATACTTGAAGACAATGGTAATGAGTTTGACGTCCATTGTGAGTACAGCTGACAAACTTCTGACTACAGTCGTCCATAGGACTGTATCTCATAAACCCATGCTGTAGAGACTCCTCCCGCTTGCGGTGCCACTTGAAGTGTCGGACCATTTCCTCCTTTTTGACGAAGACCCGGAAGTTACAGTCCATGCAGTGGAAGTGTTCGCGGTACCCAAGTTCATGGCAGTACTTAACTTTACACTCCTGGCCATTGTTAAATCTGTGTTAAAACAAAGTATCCATGAAACCATCTTATAACAAGTCAAAAGCAGATCGAGATAAATGCAGATATTAGCTTTCAAGAATTTTCCGATATTTTATAATGTCACATTGAGTCAAGTCAACAGGTAGTGTTACCAAATTAAAGATTTGGTGCAAGTTGACACTAACTTACAGAACAAACCCTGGCCATAGGAGTATATTTCACCATTCAAAATTTGCGGTGTACATTTTTTTTTTGAAAAGAGTGCAATACTTAGATTTCCAGTAAATTGTTCAAAATCTTTTTCAATGGAACAAAAGAAATTTATTAAAAATAAAAGATTTTATAAATCTTTTTCTTATTCTTCTGTTTGAGGAAAAACTTCAACACGAATCCAAAGTAGAGAGTATCCTTCATGTAAATGTTCTTGACTTTGACATTATTTACTATAAACATTATTCAAAGAGGGTAATTCTCCCCTGACAATTCAAGTTGGTTTAACTTGACTTGAATGACCTACCGTTTAAGGTACTTAGAGTAGTCAGGAAGGAGTATTTTCCCTTGAGAGTTGGTCTTGACCTTGCTCTGGTGGTTGAACACTGCCTTGATGTAGGCAGCACTGTTAGTGAATTTATCCTGCTGCTTGTTAGCTGAAAATAAATAAATGTTTAGGTACTCAAAATAAAAAATGAAATGTAGATGAAAAATAAATGTATTGTTTCATCATCACCATCAAGGAGAAAGAAACCTGTTGGTTATGATTAGCATGGCAATATTGATGGGAGGCAGACAAAAAATAGTCTTGTATAATAATTACAAAATAATTGGTAACATCAAAAAATTAAGAACCACAGGCAGTACTTTTGTGGAAAATATTTGATTAAAGTAGGAAAATTTCAATGCAAAAGTTCTCCAAGGGCAAACAATTGGTTTTATCCTAGCACATGTCAGACTTTGTTGGGGCAAAATAATTTGTATTTTATTCTAGTTGAGGTCACTGTCTATCTAAGTGGGGTCTCGCAGTACCACTTTTATGTTATATCTCAACTTAATTTATCGCTTTGCATCATAATTAAATCGTAACTAAAATATATTTTCTTCTCTATACATAAAACAACATCACGAAGTGTATTACTCAGATATACATGTATTTGATTTAATAAATAGAAATCCATATTCATGTATTTCGATACATACACAGAAAATGGCGAAATACTTCTATCATTCGAGTCAGCTGGTACACTGACATTTAATTAATGACAATCAAAAATTCTATACGAGCACAATTTGAATATTAGGATTGAAAGCCCAATATATCACACAAAAAATGTCAACAATGTTCATCAATTTTCGTCTCACAAACTGCAAAATGGTCCGATTGAATTTTTACTTTATGTCAACTTATCACTGAATGCCTCAAAGTGATAAATGTGACAAGACATCACTTTCCTATTCAGAAATTAATTATGATATTTTAAATAATTAATTGAAAGAAAATACACAAAGCTTTTATTCAGTTTGTTTTTGAATATATATAGCTGTGTATATACACATCAATTTATGTTCGTACCAGACTGCCAATGAAGAGGTAAAGAATCATTTCCAACTAGAATAGACAATTCGTTAATATACAGACAGAAATACTTATATATAATTCATATAAATTGGTGAATATCACTTATATATTCGAAATTAGGGAAAATGTTTTAACTTTGAAAGTAAGAGAATAAATATTTTAATCGGACATGAGTCATATTTGGAAAGCGTGACAGTTTGATGAGTGTCCATGTCACATAATACATAATCTATATCAATTGTGAAGATCTAATATGTAAATGCCAAAAGACTAAATCAGTAAACTTGGGAGTGACATGATAGGTATACATAGCTCGATGAAGAAGAGTGACAGTACCATAAAAGTTAATAGTATTGCAGTATGGAAATGCTCGTGGTTTTTTTTGCGTTGAGTAAATTGGCAAAAAATATCCACACACCAATATATATATATATATAATTTATAAATATAGAATATGTAGATTCAAGAACCATATTGCTAACTTGAAAATTCCTACACCACATCAGATTAACGAGTTAAAACACAAACATTTCCCAATGCAAGACTTTCCACATTAACGGTAACCTGGGTTAATGATTCTCCTTGAAAGTTAAACAATGTCCAGTTATATAATGTCCATTTAACAATACTCAGTGGCTAAACAATGCCAAGTCAATTAAGACAAGTTAAACAATCTCAGATCAGGTAAGGCAACATCAACTGTCGAGTCAGGAAACACATTCCCAGGTTAAGGCACACATTGTCCAGTCAAGTTATACAATGTCAAGTCAGGTTACACAATGTCCAGTCAAGTAACACAATGTCCAGTATACAATGTCAAGTCAGGTTATATACAATGTCAAGTCAGGTTACATACAATGTCCAGTCAAGTTATACAATGTCCAGTCAAGTTATACAATGTCAAGTCAGGTTATATACAATGTCAAGTCTGGTTACACAATGTCCAGTCAAGTAACACAATGTCCAGTCAAGTTATACAATGTCCAGTCAAGTTATGTCCAGTCAAGTTATACAATGTCAAGTCAGGTTATATACAATGTCAAGTCAGGTTACACAATGTCCAGTCAGGTTATACAGTCAAGTTATACAATGTCCAGTCAGGTTACACAATGTCCAGTCAAGTAACACAATGTCCAGTCAAGTTATACCATGTCCAGTCAAGTTAAACCATGTCCAGTCAAGTTATACAATGTCCAGTCAGGTTATATACAATGTCAAGTCAGGTAACATACAATGTCAAGTCAGGTTACATACAATGTCAAGTCAAGTTATACAATGTCCAGTCAGGTTACATACAATGTCAAGTCAGGTTACACAATGTCAAGTCAGGTTACACAATGTCCAATCAAGTTATACAATGGCAAGTCAGGTTATATACAATGGCAAGTCAGGTTACACAATGTCCAGTCAAGATATCCAATGTCCAGTCAAGTTATACAATGTCCAGTCAAGTAACGCAATGTCCAGTCAGGTTATACAATGTCCAGTCAGGTTATACACAATGTCAAGTCAGGTTACACAATGTCCAATCAAGTTATACAATGGCAAGTCAGCTTACACAATGTCCAGTCAAGATATCCATTGTCCAGTCAAGTTATACACTGTCCAGTTAAGCTTCTAACTTTCCAGTACATCTACACAATGTTTCACAGTGTCCATTCAAACTATGTATTGTCTATATACTAGTCTAGTTACACAATGTCCAGTCAAACTATGTAATGTCTATACTAGTCTAGTTACACAATGTCCAGTCAAACTATGTAATTTCTATACTAGGCTAGTTACACAATGTCCAGTCAAACTATGTAATGTCTATACTAGTCTAGTTACACAATGTCCTGAGTCAAACTATGTAATGTCTATACTAGTCTAGTAACACAATGTCCAGTCAAACTATGTAATATCTATACTAGTCTAGTTACACAATGTCCAGTCAAACTATGTAATTTCTATACTAGTCTAGTAACACAATGTCCAGTCGAACTATGTCATGTCTATACTAGTCAAGTTACACAATGTCCTGAGTCAAACTATGAAATGTCTATACTAGTATACTAGTCTAGTTACACACTGTCCAGTCAAACTATGCAATGTCTATCCTAGTCAAGTTACACAAGTCAAACTATGTAATGTCTGTACTAGTCTAGTCACACAATTTCCAGTCAAACTATGTCATGGCTATACTAGTCTAGTAACACACTGTCCAGTCAAACTATATAATCTCTATACTAGTCTAGGCACACAATGTCCAGTTTGAAAGTTAAACAATGTCCTGAGTCAAACTATGAAATGTCTATACTAGTCTAGTTACACAATGTCAAGTCAAACTATGTCGTGTCTATACTAGTCTAGTCACACAATGTCCAGTCAAACTATGTAATGTCTATACTAGTCTAGTTACACAATGTCCAGTCAAACTATGTAATGTCTATACTAGTCTAGT